AAATGCCTAAAGAAAATTATTTTTTTGTGGTGAAGGGAGTGGAATCCATGTTGATAAAAACACCTTGGCAACTACAGCAGCTGGCAGGCTGCAGCAGCAGGGTGATGGGTGTGATGCCTTCCCCTGATCAGCCAGGTTGCCTTCTGCAGAGGGAGGCCAGACTGTGGCTTTGAGCATCAGTAGGACATCCCCTGAGGGCTTCTGAACTGTGAGAGGGGGCAGGCTAGACTGAGGGACACCCCCCACACACACCCTACTGAGCCCCCAGTGCACAAATTTTGTGCATCAGGCCTCTAGTGTGTGTGTGTGTGTGTGTGTGTGTGTGTGTGTGTGTGTATGGCATTTATTGAATTGTTTGCTATATATAAAACTTCAGATAAATAACTATATCTTGTAAAAGAAGAACAGCATTATTTTGCATCAGTATTTGCAAATATTTCATAATAATTTTTATGATTATTATTATTTTGCATATGAAGAAATGTGAACCACTAAAGTGGTTGAATGATGTGCCCAAGGTCACAAAACAAACCACTGGCTGCACAGTAATTAGAAGACAGAGACTTCAAAATGAATTGCCTCTGGCTAGATAATAACTAAGGTTTAATTTGTCTAATATAATTTTTAAACATACTTATCTTCTAAAAATCAGAAAAACAGGTTTATAAACAAGTGTAAAGCTTACAATGTTTTTCTTTTTCTGGGACCATTTCCTTGTGGTATGAAGCTCAAAACATTTAATTATAATTACTCATTTGATCACTTAAGAAACTTATTTAATGATGTCCTTGGTACAGAAAAGGTGTTTTACATTTTTAAATGTGCTTTTATAAATCAGTGCAAGAGTGGTGACACTGTAGCCTTCTGTCTTTCTTAACAAAACATCAGCCATTGATTATTGTCATCTTGTGTCTGAGACTAAAGTGCTCATAAAATTGAATTCAAGAACATCACATAGCAGAGAATAAAGCTATAGTAATCCAATTTAATATGAGAAGAGAATCACAAATCAAGGAAAGATATCTTTAAAAGGAATCAAATAATTTGAACTCTAAAAGCAAAACACACACACACACACACACACACACACACACACACAAAATGTTCAGGTCAGATTACATTTCACACAGAGCTAAGCCAATGGATATATAACATGTGAGAAAAGCTTCAGCAAAAATGATCAAGTGTTGCAAAGTGCCAGAGCTCTCTACCAATTCCAGTGTAATATTGGTCATTGGATAAAGAATTTGAATCCCCTTACAAGTTTTTAACTTTAAGGATCCAGTTCTGCCCAATAAACAGTGATGAAAGCATGCTTGGTTGCTGTGCAGTGTAGATATACAACTTCCCTTGATTTATATACCCTCTAAGGGGGACACACCCTGACATCCTGTTCATTGTCATAAACAGCTATAAATTGTAAATGGGGTGGCAGCCATATTCTTCTATTTAAAACACATCCTCCTTTTGTTCTTTCCTATATAAAATCATCTTTTCTCTGTTTATTGTCCCACTTTTACAGTGTTTTAAAGAAACCATTTGAGGTGTGATTGTTTTCCTCAGAAATTGCATCAGCTACAGTGCTGGGTGAAAACCTTGAGGTCTCATGTCAAATGCATATTGTCTTATGGTCCAGAACATAACTAAGAGCAGACTTTGGCTAACAGATTTTTTCCAAATCACTTGAGTTTGAAAGTTATATTTGCAACAATTCAAAGTTGCTTATTCTTTATTTTGGAAATATAGAATACACATTCAGTTATGAAAGAGCTATTAATGGCTTCTAGAAAGTCCATAAGCCCTTGAAAAATTTGTTTTTTTAATTGATTGTAGAGAGAAAGGGAGAAGAGGGAAGGCTGGGAGGTGAAAGAAAGAAAGAGAGAGAGAGAGAGAGAGAGAGAGAGAGAGAGAGAGAGAGAGAGAGAGAAACATTAAACATCAAACATGTCTTGAACTTAGGTATGTGCACTGACTGGAAGTCAAATTTCTTGTTTGGGTGCACAGGGTGATGTTCAAACAGTTCAGACACACTGACCAGAGCAAGCCTTTGAAATTTTAAGCATGACTTCCTCTCTGCATTGTTTTCTGAGACAAAGGTCCATCTCTCTTCCTCCCACCCTCACCCCCCCCCCCCTCAATAAATTCTGAAAAAAAAAAAAAAGTCTGGGACCTTGTTCTAGTATAGCATGCCTGCTTAATTTTGCAGTTTGGATTTCCTTCACCAAAATGTGAGTGCTAGCCAGTCTTTATGTCTGCTTGTATATGAATCCTCACTTGAGGATACTTTTTTCCATTGAATTTTAGAGAGTGGAAAGGAAAGGGAAAGAGAGAAGGAAACATGAATGTGAGAGAGACACCTCAATTGGTTGCCTCCTGCACATACCCTGACCATGGCCAGAGATGGAGCCTGCAAACAAGGTATGTGTCCTTGAATAGAATTGAATCCTTTACCCTTCAGTCTGTAGGCCGACACTTTAACCATTGAGCAAAACTGGCCATGGCTATTTGATTTCTTTTAGATAAAAACATCCAGCGCAAAAATTCCCCATGTTTATGGAAAGGAAAGGTGTAAATAATAAAATGCAGAACCAAACTGAAATGTGAGGTTTTTCTGGGCAGGATGCAAAGGTGGTTTCTTCCCTGGGTTCTTTCCAGGGGGATTAGAAGAATGAAGCCACAGACAAAAGGTGAAAAGGTGGAAATTTATTGGAAAACAACACAGACTCCCATGTAAAGAGAGGGTCCCAAGGGAGTGACCCACTAAGCCCCTTTTTCCCAAGTTTTATAAAGACTGCAGTTCTTTGTGTCCTAATATTCTCTTCTGATTGGTCACTATAGCAGCTTCAAAGCTCAAAACCCATGTATCCCCCACCCTCTTTATCTTCCCCTTCAGTGGTAGAATTCTCTATCCCCTGTGAAAATCTGTTTTCCTCTTTCTCCATTTTGTTTCTCTACTCCCTGTGGCTTTCCCCTATCTTCTGTGAATGGGTGTCTTCCTCTCCCCTTAGTCTGTGGTGCCTTTAGTTCTTTGTGAATGTATGCCTTTGGCCAGCTCCAAGTCCCCAGCCAACTGGGCCTCCCACCCCCATGGACTCCCTAATTCCTAAAACTCCCTAAACCTGCCTATTTTACCCCGAAAAGCTCCCTTCAATAATACAAATAAAGGTGACTAAAAATGATAGATGACCCAGAGACCAGGATCAGGACAAAAGCTTTATTGAAGGAGAGTACCCGTGCCAGCTGCCTTCCAGAGGGGAAAGAGAGAGGGGGCCAGGTGCAAGCACCTTTTAAGGGGAGGAAAGAGAAGGGAAGGGCTTAGGGCACTCAGCACACACTGATTGATGGTTTCATGTAAGGCATATGGTTAGGGACCTAGGGACTTAGAAATTGGGGGTTTAGGGTATTTGGTAGGTGCTGATTGGTGATTCAATGTACAGTCCATATAAGGTGCCTGGCTAGGTGCTCAGGAATGTTCAGACTGCAAGTGGAGTTTACATCATTCTCTGTCCATCATTTGGGGGAAGGGAGGATCTATCAAAAAAGTATTGTCTCTGGAACATCATCAGACATTCACATTCAATGAGATAGACATGCAATTATAAACTCATGATTTCTTACTATGTTCAGAACAATTCTCTCTTATCTTGAAAGTCTGTTCTTTCAAGTAGTTGAAGGAGTAGGCCTGTGTCTTTATGAATAATCCACATAACAGATAATGTTCTCATGGTTAATTGAAAACTACTCAATTACTTTCTGTGGTGCAATAAAAGTGTCAGTAATATCTGCTGTGATGGGAATTCATAGCTCTGCTGTGGAAAAATTATCTTGGCATGCATTGGAAGAGGCTGAAAAAGAGCATTTGGTGAAGTGATTTTTCTGCCTGTAAAGGTGCTATGAAAAGGTTTACATCTGATTATCACTTTTTTTTTTTTTTGGTCAATAAGAGGTGACTTATTAAATGTCTGATTTTTCACATGAACCAATCTGCTAGATTTAAAAATAGAAGTGGATGAGAAAAGTACTCTTCTTATTGTTTAAGACAAAATAATTCAGACTTTTAAAGTAATAATTTATTTTTATACTTTTTCTTGAACAATTTGGGGTTCTTTAATCATAATTTATTTCTGTATTTTCCTTCTCATTTACATTTTAATTTGGTTCTTAGCAATTCCTTTCCTAGCATATAATTGCACATCATACTTATTCTTCTCATTTTAGTAAATGTGTGATCTGGGTAATGATTGTGATATGGTACTCAAAGCAGAAAAGAGAAGAAAAGCTTGTATTTTCTAAAAGGTGTCAATCAAACCACATCAATCTGTGACCAGGAAGTTGAGGAAGGCATGTGAGCCTTGGCAAAAAAATGTCTCTATGCTTTCAAAGTTTGTTTGGCCTTTTTATTTTATTTTTCAATAATATTTACTTTACATTAGTTTCATTACATTAATATTATTTTACATTAGTTTCAGGTGTACAGCATAGTGATTAGACAATCTTATAATTAACAAGTAATTCTCCAGGTATTTTAAGTATCCACCTGGCACCCTACATATTTATTACAATATTATTGACTATATTCTATATGTTGAACTTTACATCTCTATTAAAATTGCCAATTTGTATTTCTAAATCCATTCACCTTTTCCACCCAGCTCCTCAACCTTCTTTCCCTCTGGCAACCATCAATACATTCTCTTCATTCATGAGTCTATTTCTGTTTTGTTTGTTCTTCTTTTTTATTTTACTTTAAATTCCTCATGTAAGTAAAATCATATGGTTTTGATACATATGTACTATGGAATATTACTTGGCCATAAAAAATGAAATCTTACAATTTGTGAAAGCATGGATGGACCTAGAATGTAATGTGCTGAATGAAATGTGTCAGACAGAGAAGGACAGATGCTGTGTATTTTTGTCTTTTTAATGTGTTTTCTTAGTGTAGACTCAAAAAACAAACCTAACTTTGACTGTATAGAAAGTAAGAGGGGACAGATTTTCTACATTCTAACTAGAATAATTATAGGCTTTCCTATCAGATAAGGGGTAGCATTAGTAGAGAGAGTGGCAGGAAAGGGGAAAGAGAGAGAGAAACAAGGATGTAAGAGAGACATCCAGCTCTGAATGGAAAGGGAGCCAGCAGAACCACAGTGCTGGCCAGCTAGTGTGAAAAGGAAGCGGGAAGCTAAGATGGACTCAGGCAGGTGCAGGTAAATATGCTGCCTTCTTTCCTGAGTCTGAATGCAAGCTCTCTCTAAATGGTGTGTGTTTGTTCCCTCATTTCCCAACTTAAGAGAAATTGTGCACATCAGTTATTATTATCAGAGGCTTCCCTCTTAACAAGACCAGATATTCTGAAGCTTTTTGCAGCATCCTTTTGAATTTCAGTGTTCAGTGTGCTCTCTGACCATTGGGGGAAACAGTGGTCTTAGAGCACACTCCCCCAGCATGCAGGTGGGAAATAGAGATGGAGTTGTCCTTTTCTCTATTATTTTCCTTATCCAGTCTACATTCATTCCTTAATACCTTTGAATTTTTCTCCCACTTATATCTATCCATGATTCTGCTTCCATAATAGCTGCCAATTCCTGATCATTAAGGCAATTCCATGGTGCAAATCATGTTCTCATCTTTTGCCACTGGCCATTTATTGTTCAGATTTTTAATTCCTGCCATTTCACTTACTCTTCATCCTTTTACTTTTTAGTTTCCACAGTTTAGAATTTCTTTTTTCCTACTCTTTATTCTTGTGGGCAAATGCCTTAAAAATTTTAAATTTTACTTTAATTTTAGTAGTGTTTCAGGAGAGTGAGCAGTTGTTTAACCCATTATATTTAATCATAAGTCCTCTTGTGATCTCTACAAGTAGCTTTCTCAGGAACAAGAGCAAGATTGTCATGCACAGTTCTATAGGTTGTACAGTGAACAACTCTAAGGGAAACTATTCCCATCATACGTGTTGTACATTTCTGCATCTATTTTGACAAATTTCTGGCAAATGACAGTAAAGTATCTTGTACTGCAAAAATAGATATGATATAGCAATTGTTTAATAGATAGAAGTCAAGTTTCTTCATGAAGAAATAACTTTCTTTAAAATCCTGCAAAGGAATTGTATCTACTCATGGAAATTCTGAACAAAAAATTTGAACTGTGACTTCTGATTTCAAAGATGTATCCAAGTCTTGTAGTTTAAGTTGGACCAGACTGACTTCCAAAAATGTACTAAGCAAAGTCTTATAATATTAATAATTAGGAAGTTTCAACAGGTGACCTCTTAGTAATCTAATCAAGATTCTTAGAATGTTTACTCTGCAGGGAAGAACTGAAATATTCTTGCCAATATAATGAAACAAGATATTACTAATTGGTAATAGTTGCAGACAACTATTAATATAATTCAAATTTAATTTAAAAATAAAATCAGCAGCAGATTTCTGGTATAAAGTCATTTGATAATATATTCTCACAAGTCTTCTAACTTTCAACTCAAATAACCATAAAGATAGCAAAAGAATGACAACTTTTGCAAAACTAAAACTGACAGCCAGTATATTGACAAATCCTTAGAAAAAATTCCACTTTTTAAAAAAGTATATTGGATACAAATAGAAATAAAAAATGTTGACCTAGTTTTCTTCCCACTAAAATAAAACTAAGCTGGTTTAGATGACTTCGGGAGATGGTGGTGTCTTTCTCAGTGGTGTATCTGCTTCAGAGATCTAAGATGTACTGTATACCAAACCAAAAACAGTGTGGGCACCACACAGTTGAATGGATACTTCTTTTTGATTCACAGGGTTGATCTCTCCACATACTATTTATCCCATCAATAATTTATCTTCTTCATTTGTTTGGAATTTTTGGCATATAGAAAAACATATAGCAGAAAGTGTGTATGGAAGGAGATGAGAAGAAAAGAAGGCATGAGAGTAGCATGATGCATTCTGGGAATTTATTTCTTTCAACAAATTGTTAGAGGTGAGATCAGATATAGGAGGGGCATGCTGGCATTAATTTACCAGGACAAGGAACTGGGCATTGGATGTAAAAAAAAAAAAACAGTCTAAGACTATGACCATCATACTAGTGGGATATGGGTCAGTCACTGAGAATCAGGCTAGATTTTGTGCACCTCAATTTTCCTTCCAATTTTAAATCATTTCTGATTGCAAGAGAACAATACATAAGGCCATGAGCAAGTCACAGATCTTGTCTACTGGCAAACACTAACTAAATCTTTTTCTCTTTTAAGATAAGTGAATAAGAATAAACATAGAAGCATAAGGAGTACATGAGAAAATATAGAACTAGAGGCCCAATGCACAAAATTCATGCAGGTGGGGGAGGGTGTCCCTCATCCAAGCCTGCACCCTCCCCAATCTGGGACCTTCAAGGGTCCCAGATCGTGTGTGCAGAATAGGTTCCAATGTGAAGCTCTGACAAGTCTTTGCAGGGTAACTTAGCACAAATGACCATCATTTATTCTTTCATCAGCCCTGCATAAAATACCATCTTTGTAAAGTGTGATGCAATAATATGCCAAGGTTTCTTTTCTCTTACAGTAGTGATTTTTAAAGCTGTCATAGGAAGAATCTGTGAGAACAAGCCCATCAGATGCAGAATTCATTATTCAGCCTACTGAGTAAGATATCTTTTTCTTTCTACTTTCAGTATTTTTGATAATCCCAAGCACTATTTTGGATTGATTTCAACCTTTCAATTATGCTTTTACCTTGTCAATAGGGTATATTTTAATTCCTAATTTATTTATCTTTACCTTACTAAAATATTGAACAAGATAGTTGTTGCTATCAAAGGAATCTTTGGAGTGGTTTGTGGTTTTTTGGCAGCACATGTACAGGCTATGTCTTTTCTCAGAATTGGGAAGTCATGTGATATCAATCCATTAAGTTAAAATAGTGTCAGGGGTTTGATTTATGAATGTAAAAAAGGCTCAAGTTATAGGGTTATGGGAAAATGTGACCTCTTTATAGAATGAAGACTTCTGCAGTGTGAGAAGCAGAGTTCTAAAGATGCCCCAAAGGTTTCCTGGTCACCCTAAATAATAAGAGCACTTCAATGATTTAAGTGTAAATAGATTAGACACATATGGATTCAATTTCCCTTCAAGTACACATGAATTGTTAAAATCCAGGGGAAAGAGCTTAGGGCAAAATGTGTTTTTGATTTAGAAAAACCCAAACATTGGAAAACAACAATTGGAACATTTAGTTAGCCCCTAACTAATGTCACTGGGTCAGCTCTCTGTCAGTTTATAGCTTGTTCCAGGAAAGCTGAACATGCCTCAATATTCTTGTCTTCTTGCATAAAATGCTCTTAGAATAAGAGGACCTTTTTGAAAAAAAATCTCTAAAGAAAAGCTTATCAAGGCTCCCAAATGGTTTTTAACACAGGATATCATTTACTCTATTAATAAAACTCTGATATCTCTTCTCTAACAATGGAGCTCACTTTTGTTTCCATTTTTGTGTTTGTTTTCTTACTTTATATTATTGGTAAGTATTTGCAGGTCCATAAGAGAACCCTTCTCTTTAATAGCAATAAGTAATTATTTTAAAACTAGTAGCTCTGCACACGAATCTGTGCGCCAGTAGCTCGGTGCAGACCTCGTTGTGCACCAGTAGCTCTCTGCCCGCTACCCCACCCTCCTGTAGCTCCACACCCCTCCCGCATAGCTTGCTGCCCTGCCCCTCCTGTAGTTCTCCACCACCTGCTTTTAGCTTGCTGCTCCACCCTCCTGCTGATTTGTGATCCGGTCATTACGTGGTTGGTTGTTATGTTTCACGGTGTAGTGACCATTTGATATTACATCTTTATTATATAGGATATGCACATAGCTTTTAAAAAGACTCAACAAGTTTTGAAAATAAAAGAACTTTGAAATGCAATATAACATTGTTTGAACTTCTTTAAGTCCTTTAGGACCCTAAACTTGTCCCATTGCTCAGCAGTGCCTCCTGAGGGTTTATTCAAAGAAAGAAGGGGAAGTAATATGTAAGAGGAGGCAATGACTACAGCCAGTAAGAACAGTGGTGTTTAAGACTTGTCTACCAAACAGGGAGACAATTCCATCACACCTGATACAGAGTGTGTATGCTGTGGTAGGTATGTGTATGAGTATATGTTTGCATATGTGAATGTATGTTTGGTAATGGTAGTGGAGACTTGTTTTTTAATGTCTAAATAACCAACCAAGAGATTTAAATTGGAGAAAATATGACATTTGTAAACAAAGTCAATCTGTACTGATAGGCCTCACGTTTAGCTTGCCATAACCACTTATATTTAGCATTGTGCATTTTCAGCTAATTGTTAGGATTATTTGCATCTACTTGTGTTTATTTCTTTCTTTTTATGAGTGCCAGGATATTCCAGTATTGCAATTTTAGCTTGAACACAAACTAAAAATAAAAGGGTGGACCTTTATAACAATGAATGACTACTGGAGCAACTATAGCTGTGCCATCCATGAGCCATATGTGGTTATTGAGCACTTGAAATGTGACTACTTCAAAAGGGAATGTGCTCAAATTGAAAAAAAATACAAATCAGATTTCAAGCCTTAGTATGAAAGAAAATAATATAAAGTATCTCAATATTTTTATAGTGATTAGATGTTGAAATGATATTTTGAATGTATTGAGTCAAATAAGATTCAAATTAATGCCTCATTTCTTATTTTTATTTTAAAAAGTAAAATTGCATATACATATATGTGCTTACATTATAAATCTACTGGGCATGCTGTGCTAAGCCAGTAGCTAAGGAAGGAAAGTAACAGGTAAGGGGTCTGGAGGGCAGTGGAAGGATTGGACATACTGAAGTGCCCTTAGAAGATGCTTGAGCCAATTTGCAGACCCTTCACTTGTGTTACTATCCTGGGGTAAGAATATTACATGGCAGGAGCTTTCTAAGAGTTTGATGATGACAATAATGATGACAATGATAACTGCCCCTTAATGAAATGGTCCAACTTGTAACAAGTGCCACCTTCATTTTTCTAAGTACTGCTGAAAAGCAAGCACATCAGCTGAATGTTCATGTTGCCACAATAGTTTCTGATTTCACTTCTCCATGGCTCACTTTTCTCAGACTTAAAGACTCATGCCTAATGAGCCTGTTAGTAATTACATTATTAAAAATTCTGTGTGTCAGAGTAAACTCAACACCTGGAATATGAAATGTATCTCAAGGTTGCCTCAGAGTAACTGAACAGATGACTAATGTCAAACCTGGATAGAGGACAAAAACACTCCCAAAACTGCTGTACACATGAATTTATATT